AAAGTGTGTGTTCTGTACTGTCACGGAGACATCTGCGCCTCTTGAAATAAGAAATCTTGTAAAACGGCTGATCTCACGTGCTAAATGAACATTCGATAGTCGTCCGGGAAGCAATTTTGTCGCGGCTATTGCGTATCGATCATGTTGGCTGTTTCTTTTAATGGATGCAGGAAAGAACGTCTCCAACGTTAGGTTTCCATATCTCTTTATACACGCGAAAGCCTCTCAGGCCGCAGGGAAAGGAATATTGGACAATACCAGAAACTGAAGCCATAATCAAAACCCGTGCATCAAAATTAGCAGGGTTCGAAGTTTTAAAAATATCTGAAGTATTTCCGGTATTTTGACAGCCTGACGCTCACATATCATTGCACACCACGTCAAGACACGTGTTTTTTGTGGAAATTACATGTGACTTTTCCTCTACTACATTTACATGTCTTTCTTTTAGTTCTCTCTTAGGAGAGAAGAACCTTCGCCCGAAGATTCAGTAGAGGTAGAAATACTTGAATCACATATAGCGAGGCAGAAGGATACAAATTTAAGAGTAGTTGAACACTGGGAAACCGCGGCGGCAGTCGTAAACCTCTCAAGAACTGCCGAGATTTCGTAACAAAATCAACATCCTAGGAGAAAAAGGGGAAAATATTTTCAATACAGCGGAGAGGATCGTGTGAAAATTGGGAATTTCGCAAGTGAGAATGGAGACAAGAAAACCCTAGAATGCTTTGCTGAAGAATTTCCAAGCTTAAAAGAAAGTACAGTGCGTACCTTTAAAATGGCATTTCGAGAGCGAGTTTCTGCGAAAATAAGGGAACGAAACGTTCAACCGGTTACGTCCCTAGAAACGCACAAGCGTGGGCGACCACCGTTTCTTTACGAGCTGGACAACAAACTCATTGCATTTTTACAAGACCTCAGGTCTAGAGGTGGTGTGGTGTAGTGAACGGCAACGTCGTTTCAGCTGCTGCAAAAGCACTGATTAGCAGCTTTTCGTCGATGCATGGCAAGTACCCCTCATTTACACCCACGCCAGGACGGACTCCATCTATTTACAGGCGTTACAACTTTTCCCGGCGTGCAGGTACGACAACTAAGCCACCAGTTCCAAGAGGAGATTATGAAGATTGCAAGCTAACTTACCACTCGGACATCGACAATTGTATCAAACAACTCAAGATTCCACCGGATCTCATTCTTAATGCTGATCAAACACCGAGTTTATACGTATCAGTGGGTCAAATGACCATGGCAGCAACAAACTCTCAGTCTGTACCAATCAAGGGTTTGACAGATAAGCACAACATCGCTTTAACCACCTTCCGGTTAGATCAATGGATAGAGCGCTAGACTGTTGTGCGGGAGTTCGAGGGTTCGAGCCCCGGTCAGACCCAACACTGAAGGTCTTAAAATTATTGAGAAGAATTTGGTACGTTTCTATAACATCAAGAAATGGTTAGATATTCTAGTCTTCTCGGATAGGGACGAATAAGTGGAGGTCCCGTCTCCTGCGGGGTTAGGGGTAGGAGACGTTAATTTCCCACACACGAGATTACTGTGTGATGGATGTCCTCCCCT